CCCTGATCGCCCTCTACAACTGCCTGAGAGGAGGGGGGAGCCGGGGGGGTCGGGCTCTGCTCCCAGGGAACGGGCGATGGGACGAGGGGGAACGGTCTGAAGTTGCGCCAGGGCAGGGTTAGGTTGGACATTAGGAAAAATTTCTTCCCCGAAAGGGCTGTCAGGCTCTGGAAGGGGCTGCCCAGGGAGGTGGTCGAGTCCCCATCCCTGGGGGGATTTAAAGGACAGGTAGATGAGCTGCTTAGGGCCAGGGTTTAGTGGTGGGATGGCAGGGTGAGGTTAAAGGTTGGACTTGATGATCTTAAAGGGCTTTTCCAACCAAAGCGATTCTATGATTCTAGTCTAGTTTTCTATCCAAAGAGTGCAGAACCCCAACAATATCAAATCTGAGAAAATAACTTCTTTATAGATGGGAAAATTAAAGCAAAAGTGCCAAACGGCATCGGCAAGTGTCTCGGAGCACCTGAGGCAGCTCTGGGAGGATTCCAGTGCACGCCAGTGCTTACACTGGAGGGAGAGGTTTCTGCAGCAGACGCTGGTGCAGACAGTTCTGGTAACAGCACCGATGCTACGGGCAGTATTTATCCCTGCCGTGGCCTACATCCCGCTCCTGGGGGTGCCGGCCCCCAGCCACCATCCTCCCTAGCCCTGCGGCCCGGGCAGCTGGCCATGCCCGGGGCTGCCTGCGGGCAGGGAGGCTGGATGCTGGGGCTTGGTGTGGCAGGGGAGGGCAGGGAAGGGGCAGCGGGGAAGCCAGAGTGCCGTGGGGACACCACACTGGCCCACGGGCCCACGCCTCAGCCCTGCGCTGGGGCAGGCAGGCGGGTCCCAGCCTGCAGGCAGCCAGGGAGGAAGAGGAGGAGGAGTTAGTGCTCGTTGCGGGCAGCCTTCCCGGGCAGCTTTCCCAGCTCTGGGCAGAGCAGGTGGAGGGACGGAGGGGACGCAGCCTCTCGCCCGGCTGGGGAGATGGAGTGGCTGGGGCAGGGGGGGCCGCCGGCCCCCTTTTTTTTTTGCCGCGCTGCCAGGGCCAGCTCCGTGCTTGGGATGGGGGGACGCGGGTGACCCGCTGGGGAGCATCGTGGATGCGAACCCAGGCAGCCGTGGCAATGCCTCTCTGTACCTTTATAAGGGAACCTCTGCAAAAAAGAAAATGATCATGCAGGAGGAATGCATTCTCGGTCTCTGCAGAGAGCAAAGCAAATTTCTTAGGAGTTTTTTTTTTCCCACTCGTGCTGAGGAAAGCTCACAGCCTGCTCAGGATTGCCCTAAGTTGTGTTTGGTTGGGTTTTTTATTTTACAGAACCTCACCAAAACTAGGCAAAAAGTCCTAACATGGTAAATTTTAAACCCTGACGCTGGTTTTAGTTCACCAAAGCCAAAATAAATTGCGCAGAAATCTTGGTCTCTCTAAACTCGGCTATCGTTTTGCTGGTCAGTGCTTTTCAGCAAAATACTTAAAATCTCACTGCAGGTTTTTCAACTTTGTTCCCTTTAACATTTTGGCAGTCATGAGTTTATTCGCTTTATCAGGTAGGAATCCTGAAGCTTCACTCCTTCACTTTTGCACCACATTGCACTTCTGCAAGTACAATTATTTGGGAAAAAAGGGGGGGAGGGCTTTTATCTTTCTTTTCAGAAAGAAAAAGGGGAAAGACACCCGAAAGACCAAGAGAGTGGTGACTCTGGTACTGATAGTCAATCGCAAGTGTTCGTGGGGATTTCCTCATCACATGCACATACATCTCTGAGAAGATTAATGATTGCTGCACTGAACAGGTCGGATTTTTTTTTTTCCTGAGCAGGGAGCATGATTACATTCTAATCCGGAAAAATAGCTACACCAGCATAGCTCTGTTTGGCTTGTAACTACCTGAGTAGCTTCTGGGATTTGTTGCATAATAGTTGTTAAATGGCTTAGTGGAAAAAAAAGAGCTCTAAAAATTATTATGAGAAACCTTGTGATAACAAAGGATATTTCCTCAAATGGATTGGAAAAGAGGAGACAACCAATACAGCACATCAATCGTTTATCCAAATGGAAAGAGCGCCTGTCTTTGTGGCAACGAGATTTTTTTTACTCCAATTTTTTTAAATAAAACCAACCTCTGGCATTGGCCCTGTAATGGGAGGTTTTTCAGAGGACGGTGGAAATAAGAGGGGGAAAAGGAATATATTCTTAGGCTTACAAGCATGTTTTACCACTGTAGTTGAACGAGGGCCAGATGCTGTTTATTCCATAAACAAGACAAAAGACAAAGAGAAGAGCAGCTGGGCAGAGCAGCGAGCGCTGCAGCCCCGGCTACGGGCACCATCCCTCGGCTGTTGCTCAGCACACCAAATTAACCTCGCTGTTCCAGCAACGTCCCTGCTGGGATAATGATAGGTTTTTACGTGACTGTGTTTGTGGCACGTAAGTACAAAGAGCAGCTAAGGGGCTCGCCAGGAATAGCAGCTAATGTACGGCAAAACCAACTTGTTGCCCCTGCGCTGCCAGGCCACGGGGAGCGCGTTGTTGTTTTCTGCAGCCCGGCAGGACGCAGACGGCTCTACAGACCTGGGCTGTGGCCATTAGGGCTTCTGTGCCTGAAAGGATCCAATTTCACTGCCCTATTAGTATCTGATAATTAAGATTAGACCAACTTAAAACCTGCATTTAAGTCTTATCCCCCCTTGCCTGCTGTGCGAGTCTGCATCAGAGCCTGGGGGGGCTGCACAGCATCTGTCAGTAGAAGAGCGTTGATCATCCCGGACAGGCAGGGCAGGGCCAAAGCTCTCCAGGTCCCGGCACAGACTGCATTACCCCAGGCTTCCCCTGGCTCCAGTCCTGCATCAGGCTCCAGCCCAAATTTGCTTCCCAGATCCCTCCCTGACATACTGCTCTCCCCCTTCCCACATCCCCGGGGAGGCAGAGGGTCCCCGGCCCCACCATTTCCCAGAGGTGGATGTGCCTCACCCCGGGCACACGGCCAAAGGACGGCTGTGGGATGTGTGCTCAGCAGGGAAGAAGATGAGCTGGATGTGGGAGCCACGCCTGGTGGTTCCCTTCTCGCCCCTTTTTGCAACAGATATGTATTTTAACAGAGGCAACCAGTGACTTACCCACTTCTTCAGAAAACCAGTCCTGGCTGCTGAGGCCGTGCAGTGGGGTCTGTACCCCCCATTAGTCTGGGGTGTGCCCTCCCCCAGCACAGGGCTGGGCACCTCTGGGCAGATACAGCCTCAAAACCTGACCCTTTCCTGCCCCGAGGGCTCCTCACGGACCTGGATCGGCCCCATCGGAGGGGAATGAATCTCCCCATGAGCATCTTTTCACTTAAATTACAACTTGCACTGCTGTGATGGTGGAAGACGACTGGAGACTTCCTCTCAGCCACAGATAATAGAAATGCTTAGTTTTACAAAATGCAGTATTTCACCTAACATCATCACTCATGTATTTTGCATTTTAGGTGGTGATTCTGTCTTTGCTGATGTACCCGGTGCTGAGGAGCGTCGCTCTTCAGCTGCACTCTGCCATCACCGGCAGCTACATCTCCGGGACCCACTCCATCGCCTTCATCAACTGTCTCAACGAGCAGATTGCCAAGGATATCGCAAGGTACCGAGGCGCTTCCCCTGCTTGTCTGCTTGAATTGTTCGAAATCAGCTGCTTGTGGAAGAAAGCCTCTCCCTGTCCCTCGAGAGAAGCTGCGCTCCCCTCTACTTTGCACTTCTACCCTAATGGTGCTCTTTTTCTCCTACGCTTGCTCTCTCTCTCTCTCCGTATCACATATCCACTTACCAAGAGCTGTGCTTCCCAAAAGAAAGCTGGCAATTGCCTCCGAAGCCAGCGCCACGGTAACATCAAGCCAATTCTCAACGCATTCCGCTGCCTTTCGTTTTCAAGACCCATTTTAAAGCCATGACCCTAAATCTCTGGGTCCTCAGATGAATTAAGCCCCAAGCCCCGTGGTCTCTGATCTGCCACTGTCCTTATTCTTCTCTGGAACCACACAGATAAATTCCAGGAGAAGCATTTTTGGCGAGGGAAGAAGCAGGGTACACCGCCGTGAACATACATAAAAAAGCGGCGCACAGCGAACGCTGAACGGGCGCGTGTGAGGAACCGCCTGGAAGCTCTGCTCGCCAGGCAAACTGCAGGGAACGAGGGCCTGATATTTTGCATGCAGTTTTTTTCACTTATCCATCAGCCCTGGACTCAATAGATGGTTTGTTCAAAGCACTGAAACCGTGTTGACTGGGGAAATGTTTATGATGGACCATTAAGTTTCCTGCAACACCGCCTGCGCTGTTTTCCCTGCTACCCCGCTGCTTGCCAAAACCTCTCCCCGTCCCCCGTAAAGTGTGCCCAGGCAGTCGTTGGGGAGCTGACAGGCTACTGAAAGGGATTTTGTGTCACCTTAAATACTGCAACTGTATTAAGAAATTCAAAGAGAATGATCTCCGTACTGCTTGATGTCTTCTGAAAAAAGGGGTGACTGTACGTGGCTGTGAAAAGAGCCTGAAAATGCTTCATCTTAACAGCGGTGCGGGGGTTTTCCACTCTGTTCCTTATCTTGCAGAGGAAATAAATCACTCCCCATTGCTGAGGGATACGTGCTTTGGTTGAGTTTTTCCTACTGGAGTAATTATTCCTCTGTTTCGGAATTTGGATGAATAAGCCACGGTCGTAGAGGATGACACAGGGCTCCTACACTTATTTGCCCACCCACCGTTTTCCTGGTGCTGTCGTGTTTAGTCTTCCTTTACGTTGCTCGGTGGGGCACTCACTTCGATGGACCAGACTGCAAGGAAATTTTCCGCTGGTTTTAAGGAAGAGGAGGTCAGGGTTTGTAAAAGCAGATTAGCCGCAGGTAGAATTCAGCATCTGGCTTGCTCATCGCATCAGCTCTAACCCAGTTTATCTGGGTTACTGTTAACTTAAAACCCTCAGCAGAAACCCCAGGTCCACGCGGGAGATCCAGCCTCTCCCCGTGCCTGCCGGGAGAAGCTGAACCCTTTGGGCTGGATGCTGTGGCCATTGCAGCTCACGTAACTCAGCTGACACCCGCACAGCCTGGCGGCCTCTGGAGCCGCCTTAGGTTTGTGCGTATCATTTTCTTTGCTTTTCCGCTTATTAATATTTCATCCATCTCAATTCAGATCCTATTGTCAGGCGGGGGACAAAGAAACACCCATTAAGTACCCAACCCAGAGATACCATGTATTATGCAGACGTTTTCCCACAGATCACGTTCAGCTTCTCACAACGTTTCCCGTTCCCATGGTGGCGGCCGCTTGTTTCTGCTCCGCTTGCTAGAACAAAGTTCAGGCTCTCAGTTAGGATCACAGTTTATTGCGACAGAGCAGAAGCAATTAGAAGGTACTCACCCAAATCAAAAGGTTCCTGCGCCGAAGGGACTTGGAAGTTGCAGGCAACAAAAACAAAATGATTCATGCCATGTGTCTGACATGATGAACACAGCGGGGATACCTCCGCTTGCGCTGCTGCAGTTTGTTGGTCTACAGATTAATTCAAGATGCTTTACAAGCATTAAATGCCTCAAACTGGCTACACATGGTGAGAGCAAACACCGCGCAGCCTCCCCGGATGGCTCTCCCCTCGGGCCGTGGCTCCTCCGAGTCCGTCTCCGTCGCCTTGATGTGCTTCACCATTAAACCCAATCCCGCGAGTTAGCTGGGTCCAAGCACTGGTTCTCCAGGGTGCTGCTGGACTGGCGAGATGCCGTAGGATCATCGGGAAGGGCTGCTCCCCATGCCTCCCTGCCCCACAGCAGAACCCGCACAGCCCCGCAAGCACTGGTAGCTGCAAGGTGTCACAGAATCAGAGAATGGCAGGGGTTGGAAGGCACCTCAGGAGATCACCCAGTCCCACCCCCCCTGCTCAAGCAGGTTCTCCTAGAGCATGTTACACAGGACATCGTCCAGGCGGGGGTTGAATATCTCCAGAGAAGGAGACTCCACAGCCCCCCTGGGCAGCCTGGGCCAGGGCTCGGGCACCCTCAAAGAAAAGAAGTTTTTCCTCATATTCAACTGAAACCTCTTATGAACTTCTGCAAACAGGGAGAGAAGGCAGGGAGGACAATAAAGACGTGCGGAGGAGCTTATGCACATTCAAACAAGGGCCCAGCTTTCCTCATGGGCCAGGTCGCAGCGTGCGATGCAGTGGCACGTCAGCACCCTGGCTGGGGGGGGGGCTTCAGGTGGAGGGGGGGCACCTCTTGTGCTCCTTCTGCTCGTATTCGGGGACACACTGGCCACTTTGTTTTCTAATCGCCTCCAGTCTGTACCATACCCTGGATGCAAGGACGATAAATTTTTAACTTGCTCTGAGCCAAAAACATCCTGGAGCGTAATTCGGATTGGAGAAGTTAATGGGAATGTTTCTAATTCTTTAGCTCATTAAGGGTTAATTTTTACAGGTTGTTGAGTCGAGCCTCCCAGTATCTAACAACTCCTGCCTTCCCTGCCGTTCAAGGTCACCTAGAAGTGAAATGTTTGCCTTGTCAAAGCGCGTGGTGCGCAGCGGTGCCTGGCCATGCCAGCGCCGAAGGAAACCAAAGGTGAAGGCACCGGTGCAGCGCCTTCCGCAGAGCCGCCTGCGAGAGGGGTGGTGGGAAGGGCCCGGGCATTGCCGTGGTCAGAAAACACAACATTCGACCTAATTCTTCTAAAAATCCACCCGGAGATTGCCTCAGTACTCTTTAATCACTTAAATATCACTTCTGCTGGCAGACCCGAGCAGCTCTGCAATAACAGATCAGCCCACAACTAAAGGAGGCGGCCAGAGGGAAGGAATTTATTTGGGCTTCAGATTTCTAGGACGTTTTGGGTAGAAAAACCTTGATGTCGTTAACAAGCTCCACATTTAGCCTGCTATGTGAGGAAGAAGCACAGTTTGACAGCATAAATACAGGACTGGGAGACAAACCCTTTGGCGTCCCTCCCAGCCCTGGTTCCTGCAGCGCGGTGGCTCAGCCCCTGCCCCGGTGTCCCCGCGGCGTGATGGGCACAGGGCTGATGCTGGGTGGGATCCTGGCATCACAGGAGGCGCAGGTCCTGTGGGCTGCTCTGGGCCAGGAGCTGCACCCAACCTTCCTGGGTGGTGGTGGGGACAGCGGGGACCGTCCCAGAGCTGTGCCAGGAGGACCGGAGCTGCAGCAGCTCCAGCAGGAGGTTACCTTCACCTCTGCTTTCCCAGGATAATAATTAACTCCAATTCCCCCCTCTCCAGCGTCAAAGCTGGTCAGGGGCAGCACGAGAGAATGTCCCCGTGGCTGGGGGCGAGCACTGAGCCGCAGCGAGCTGGGGACAGGCACTAACTCCCCCTCCTGTCTCACCCAGGGCCATCATGGACAAGAAGCTGGCTGCCTACGTGAACATCCTGCCCAAGAGCTTGGCCTTGTAAGTTGGGCTGAATATTCCCCAACGGAGGAGGCAAACCTGGGTTACCTGGGAGGGGGAAAGGAGGAGATGGACACCCCGCAGCCCCAGGGAGCGGAGGCGGCTCCCAGAGGGCCGCCGGGTCGGTTTGGTGTTGCGGATGGTGGAGATGATCCTCACCCCTGCAAAGTGCACTCAGCTTATTAGGGAGCGCAGATGCTCCGACTGCCAGTGGGGACCATTTATTTATTGGTTACTTAGCTACACGGAGATCTGGTAAAGAGCAGGGAGATTTATGGTCCTAAGGACATAGCGCCGGCTTTTAGAGGATCTAAAAGCAGGCTAAGATAGGGACCAGAAAAGGCCTTTACAACATTTAGCAGCACTTTCAGGAAGGAAGAACTTTGAAATACAACCAGCCATGCTCTGCAGGTACCCTCAGTCATCCACGCAAAGGGATCGCACTTATTAGAGGGGTTAAAGAATAAAGCCCCAAACCTGGGGCACCCTGGCCTCCCCCCAGGAGGGGCTCCTCGCAGCACACACCCCCCCCAGCTCTCCCATAGCCCAGCTGAGGCTGCTGAGATAGGGCAAACCCAGTAATACCTTTGTCCCCTTACGCTGGGCTCCTTCGGAGCCACGATGGCCAGAGCTGAGTTGCCCACGCGCAGCCCTGCCCGCTCCAGCCGGTTCCTCCTCGGTGCCCCGCTCAGGAGACACCGCGACGCCTCCGAATGCCTCCTCCCGCAGGAACCCAGCACGCAGATGAAATCACGATGGCCTTCTGTCAACATAAATGTTTTGAAAGGTCATATCTGACTCACGGGAAGTACATCTCCTCTCCTGCAGGGAA